ACGTTCTACGAAGCCAACATTACATTAATACCAAAACCAAACAAAGACAGCACAAAAAAAGAAAATTGCAGGCCTATCTCCCTACTGAACACTGATGCAAAAATCCTCAACAAAATGCTTGCCAACAGAATCCAACAATGCATCAAAGGGATAGTACACCACAATCAAGTGGGATGAAGGGGCACAAGGATAGTTCAACATAAGAAAATTGGTAAGTGTAGTCCAACACATCAACAAAAGGAAATATAAAAACCATATGATCATATCAATAGATGCTGAGAAAGTATTCCACAAAGTCCAACATCCATTTATGATGAAGGCCCTTGAAATTCTCAGGATAGAAGGAACATACCTTAACATGATAAAAACCATATAGGACAAACCCACTGCCAACATTATTCTCAATGGCAAAAAGTTGGAGGCCTTTCCTTTAAGATCAGGAACAAGACAAGGATGTCCTCTCTCACCACTGCTCTTCAATATAGTACTAGAGGTCCTAGCCAGGACAGTAAGAAAAGAGAAAGACATACAAGGAATCCAGATAGGGAAAGAAGAAGTGAAAACTATCATTATTTGCAGATTATATGATAATGTACATGAAGAACCCTAAAAACTCCACAGAAAAACTACTCAAAATAATCATCCAGTGCAATAAAGTAGCAGGATACAAAATCAACACACAAAAATCAGTAGCCTTCCTATGTACAAACAATCAATTGGAAGAAGAAATCAAGAAAACCATCCCTTTTATAATTGAAACCAAAAAAAATCAAATGCTTAGGAATAAACCTAACAAAAGAGGTGAAAGACCTATACAAAGACAATTATAAAACACTGTTAAAAGAAATTGAAGAAGACACAAAGAAATGGAAAGACATCCCCTGCTCATGGATTGGAAGAATCAACATTATTAAAATGGCCATCCTCCCAAAAGCAATATACATATTCAATGCTAATCCAATAAAAATCCCAATGACATTCTTCAAAGAAATAGAACAAATACTGATGAAATTCATATGGAGTCACAAAAAAACCACAAATAGCCAAAACCCTACTGATGAAAACAAAGAAGAAAGGAGGTATCACACTTCCAAACTTCAAGCTATACTACAAAACCATAATAATTAAAACAGTTTGGTATTGGAACAAAAACAGACACACAGACCAATGGAACCAAATAGAGAGCCCAGAAATAAAGCCACACTTATATGAACAACTAATCTTTGACAAAGGAGCAAAAAATATGCAATGGAACACGGACAGTTTGTTCAATAAGTGGTGCTGGGAAAACTGGACCTTCACATGCAAAAAAATGAAACTAGACCACTACCTCTCACCGTGTACAAAAATCAACTCAAAATGGATAAAAGAAATGGACATAAGACCTGAAACTATAAAAGATATAAATGAAAATATAAGTAAAACACTACAAGACATACATCTCAGAAACATCTTTAAAGACTCATCACCCAGAGCAGTGATGGTGACGGCAAAGATAAACACCCAGGATTACATCAAACTGAAAACTTCTGCATAGCAAAAGAGACATTAACTAAAACAGAGAGACACCCCACTGATTGGGAAAAAATCTTTGCACTCCATCCAACTAATAAGGGACTGATCACAATGATATACAAAGAACTCACATGGCTCAACAAAAACAAAATAAACAATCCAGTCAAAAAATGAGCAGAAGAACTCAAAAGACATTTCTCCAAAGAGGAAATGCAAATGGCCAACAGGCATATGAAAAAATGTTTAACATCCCTGATAATCAGGGAAATGCAAATCAAATCCACACTGAGATAACCACCTTTACACCAGTAAGAATGGCACATATCAAAAAAACAAGCAACAACAAATGTTGGCAAGGATGCGGTGAAAAATGAACTCTCCTACTTTGCTGGTGGGAGTGCAAACTGGTCCAACCATTGTGGAAAGCTGTCTGGATCTTCCTCAGTCTTCTAAAAATGGAGCCACCATATGACCATATGATCTGGCAATTCCACTACTAGAGATTTATCCAAAGGACAAAAAAAAAAAAACAAAAAACAGCGATTCAAAAGAGCACCTGTACACCTATGTTTATAGCAGCACTATTTACAATAGATAAAACCTGGAAACAACCCAAATGCCCCAAAATAGATGACTGGATCAAGAAGATGTGGTACATATACACAATGGAATATTATCAAGAAAGATAAACTCATGCCATTCGCAGCAACATGATGGAGCTATAAGGAATTATGCTCAGTGAAATAAGCCAGAAGGAAAAAGAAAAATATCGGATGGTTTCACTTATAACAGGAATATGGGGGAACCAAATAAGACATCAGTGTAAAAAATAACAACAGTACAAAACACAACAAAGCAGAAACAGATAATTATAAACCAGAGACATACTGCAGGTGAGGAGGAGGGAGAGGGGTGGGAGGGAGGGAGGGAGGAGCACAGGGGACTGTGGTGATGGTGCATGGTTTCTTGGGGAAGGAAATTCTATGGGGACTCAATCTGAGGGGGTGGAGGGAAGCAAACATTGTCTAAAAAATGTAAAAAATGATAAATATTAAAACAAAAAATAATAAAAAATAACATATATAAAAAGCCAATCTAAAAAAAATAATAAACATTATCAAAATAATTTCAGGCCTTATATAGACAGGACTATATAAATATATATATATATATATATATGTATGCATATTTACATATGAGTTAATATGATTACAAAATAATTTCTGTAAATTGTAAAACAAACTGATGTATCATATTAAAAACTAAACGGCTATAAAAAAAAAAATACACTGCTTAGTGATGTAGTGGGCAAGACAGGAGAGGTCTGCTGAACTCTATGTGGGTGAGATCCCTAGCTGGGGATAGAACTCAGGCCTTGGCGATGATAGGACTGAGATTTAACCCTCTAAGCCACCACAGAGGTGCTTAAGTGGTATTTAAATTTATGTCCAATATTGCTGATGTTTATTAATATTCACTAGCTAGAAAGTAAGTGTATAGTGATGTTTATATCTTACTTAATATCTGGATTATTTGATACATGATTCTGAATTTGATATTGTTATTATTTTATATTTTTAAAGATTTATTTATTTATTTGTTTGTTTGTTTATTTGTTTATTTATTTATTTATTTGTACAAGAACTGGGGTAACGGCCAGATGCGCAGGAGGGTGAGAGGATTTACCAGAGACAGAGCGGGGAGCAGAACAGGCAGACTGAGGAAATACACTGCTGAGGGGAAGAGCAGGCGAGACAGGAGAGGTCTGCTGCGCCATGTGGGACCCTCACTGGCTGGCCGGGATTGAACTGACACTTCACAGTGCGGTGCTCAACTGCCTGCGCCACCAGGGGAGACCCTGATATTATTATTTTATTCTTTTTTAAAAAGATTTATTTATTTATTTATATAAGCACTGGGTACAGTCAAAAGCACGGGAGGGTGAGAGAATTCACCAGAGCCAGAGTGGGGAGCATAACAGGCAGATGGACCGAGGTATGCTGCTGAGGGGAGCAGCAGGCATGGCAGGAGAGGCTGGGAGCCGTGTGGGACCGCTGCCCAGTGGCCAGGGATGGAACTGGTGCTGCAGAGGCTTGGACAGCTTCACAGCTCAGTGCTCAATCACTGCACCACCGAGGAGGAGGCCCTATTGTTATTTTAAATGGCTAACTTAGAATCATGTTTCATATGCGCTTTCTTCTTTCTCAAAATATACTATTTGATTTTTCTCATTTCGATTTGCTATAAACTTTGAATAAAAATAGGCATATTAATAATCAAGTTGAAGGAAAACATTGCTCCCAAACTATAAATTGCTTCCTAAGGAGATTTACTATGCGAGAAATAAATGCTATATGATGGTTCACTGAGTATTTTTTACAGGATTTTTTCATTTCCAAATGAAAAATAATATCTAGTAGTATCTGCTAGCAATATTAAAATTTAATGCAAGTCCTCTTTGCTGTTGTGATATCAGCAAAATTAAAATAGCAGAATAAATTTTCTATCAATTAGCCCCTACACTAATTCTTTGTTTATATGTTCAGATTAACTTGAGCTTCTATCAGCATTTTGGAACAGCAATGGGTATAAGTTATTTCCATGGACCTGGAATATCCCATGTATGGACACATAGACACAGATATCTAGCATCAAATGTGCTTTTGGCAGGAGACAACTTTTTGGTTATGTTTGTGTTCCCTACTGTATCCCCATGGAAATGAATGGCATTTCTGTTCTCTGATTTGATTCATTTATGTATCTTAAGATAACCCTGTCCATTTATCTCCATATATGTTGTTTGATAAGACAGGGAAATTACTGACCATAATTTAACAATATCTTTACAGCTTGGGTTTCGAGGTGTCCATAGAGCTACTTTTCTAAGAAGAATCAAAAAAGATGCTAAGTGACACAAAAGGACGTTTTGGTTAAGCATAATCCATAAGTTTTTGTGGTAGCATTATGTGGAACTTAATATATCAGTTGTATTTAAACCTATCATTCAACTTAAAGAAAATGTTATTTAGAAATTGTTATTTAAATGACTATGCTCAATTATAGCAATCATCATAAAAATTGAAGCATAAATACCATATTCAAAATTTTAGATCATAAAATATAGAAAGTAGATTATTTCCAATCTGCCTTTCAAATACCTTGATTTCATCCGATTTAGATGACGTTGATTAATTGATACATTTCTGTTTGTAGAAGAAAGAATATTTTTAAAAATTTGTTTTTCAATTGAAATTTTATAGTTAACGATATTTTAATAGTTTTCTATTTTATATGAATAAAATTTTATTTAGTTACATAATGTTTAAAATATGTTCACAGTAATATAAAAAGGCACGTCAATTTATATAAATGACCATATTCCTTTAAGGTTTATAATATTGTTTTAATAAGCTGGAACTTTTTACTTTTTTCTTTAATATAATTTCTTTCAACTCTGTTCTATTGCTTGTTCCAACACATGAAAGTTGCACATTTTATGATTATCAGAATAATTTTCTGTATGAAAATGACATCCTTCAACATCATGTTTTCACAAAGGGAAAAACAGAGTTCTTACATCTTCATCTGAACAACAGATCTTCTTACTATAAAGATAACACAACAGGTAATTTTTTTTCATTTTGCTTAACTATTAACAATGAATGTTGGTGATTTTATTAAACCAATAGGTATTGTAGTATATCAAAGTTTTACCTATTATACTGCTTATTTTAACCCCAGAAAGTTTAGTATTCAGAACGAAACTGGCTGAAAATAATTTTCTAGAAAATATTCGTATTAATAATGGACAACAGTATTTTTATTTGAGGAAAAAACAGTCAATATAGGTCTCCCTAAATGTTACTATTGATTAAACTAACATTAAAAGTCTACGTGGTTGGGCTTTTAGTGACAAAAAACTTGATTGTCATGTTTTTTCCTCCCTTTCATTAATTATTTTCCCATAATAATAATATTTTATATAATTTTTCACATAGTTGATTGGACCAGAACAAATCATTTTATTTTTATATCTACATTGCTATTATTAGTAGTTACCTTGTTATTGTTAGCAATATATAGATTAGAATTCTATATGCAAATATTTGCTTTTAATTCTAGATGATGAAAGGATTACTTAAAAACTCACTAGGAAGTATCCTGATTGACAGTCAAACTTTGTCTTCATATCTGCGTTACTTTCCTATTTATATGCTTTCTTAGATTTCATTTTCCAAAACTAAAATATATAAAGTAGATTATTTCCAATCTGCCTTTCAAATATTATATTTTGATTATTTAGGATTTTCAGAAAATCAAAAAGTATATATCTTCATGTAAATGATTCAAAAGACACCAGAGAATATTATTTTAAACAACTCTATGTAAAACTGTGATTACCATTTTCAATAGGGTGGTCGATGGTATAAAAAAAAACACAGCAATTTGTGGTAATTCTATTGATTGGTATTGCCATTTTCAACTACTAAGTCACTGCATTTTTATGACCAACTGTGACTATTATTCACAAAGGAATATAGCTGTACATTTTTTTTTTTTTAAATATTAAATTTTATTTTTATATTCCCCATACAATTGCAAACGCCCATTCTGACCCCAATCCTTCCCTCCCGCCCCCCCCACCCCCAAAAAGTGTCTCTGGTTCATAGTTTTTTTGTTGATTTTGATTTTCACTTTCTTATATTCATTTTCCTGGTCCCTTATTTAAGTTTTCTAGATTCCTGCTATGAGTGAGACCATCCGGTATTTTTCTTTTTCTTTTTGGCTTATTTCGCTGAGCATGATCCCTTCCAGTGCCATCCATGTTGCTGCAATTGCATGTGTTTATCTTTTTTGAATGCTGAGTAATATTCCATGGTATATATGTACCACATCTTCTTGATCCAGTCATCTATTTTGGGCATTTGGGTTGTTTCAAAGCTTAGCTATTGTAAACAGTGCTGCTATAAACATAGGAGTGCAGGTGCTCTTGGAATTGATGTTTCTGTGTCCTTTGGGTAAATACCTAGGAGTGGAATTGCTGGATCATATGGAAGCTCTATGTTTAGTAGGTCCAGAAATCTCCACACAGCTCTCCATAGTGGTTGGACCAGTTTGCACTCCCACCAACAGTGCACAAGAGTTCCTTTTTCTCCACACCCTCGCCAACATTTGTTGTTGCTAGTTTTTTTAATATGTGCCATTCTCACTGGTGTGAGATGGTATCTCATGGTAGTTTTGATTTGCATTTCCCTGATTACAAGTGATGTTGAACATTTTTTCATATGTCTGTTGGCCATTTGCATTTCCTCTTCAGAGAAGTTTCTTTTTAGCTCTTCTGCCCATTTTTGACTGGATTATTTTTTTTGTTGTTGCTGAGTCTCATCAGCTCTTTGCAGATTTTTTGTGATCAGTCCTTTATCATTAGTGTTGGGTGCAAAAATGTTCTCCCAGTTGGTGGGTTTCTCTTTGTTTTTGTTATTGTCTCTTTTGCTGTGCAGAAGCTCTTTATTTGATGTAGTCCCAGCTGTTTATCTTTTCTCTTCACTATCACTGCTTTGGGTGATGTGTCTGTAAAGATGTCTTTGATGTGCAAATCCCGTAGTGTTTCGCCTATATTTCTTCTATATATTTTATGGTTTCAGGTCTTATGTCTAGTTCTTTAATCCATTTTGAGTTGATTTTTGTGTATGGTGTGAGGTAGTGGTCAAGCTTCATTCTTTTGCATGTAGCGACCCAGTTTTCCCAGCACCATTTATTGAACAAACTTTCTTTGCTCCAATGCATAGTCTTTGCTCCTTTGTCAAAGATTAGTTGACCATAAATCTGTGGGTTTATTTCTGGATTTTCTATTCGATTCCATTGGTCTGTATGTCTGTTTTGTTCCAATACCATGCAGTTTTGATGATTATGGCTTTGTAGTATAGTTTGAGTCTGGGAGTGTGATGCCTCCATTTCTTCTTTTTTTTCAGTAGAGCTTTGGCTATTCGGGGTTTTTGGTGATTCCATATGAATTTCATCAATAATTGTTTATTTCTTTGAAGAATGCCATTGAGATTTTGATTGGAATAGCATTGAATCTGTATATTGCTTTTGGTAGGATGGCCATTTTAATAATGTTTATTCTTCCAATCCATGAGCAGGGGATGTCTTTCCATTTCTTTGTGTCTTCTTCTATTTCTTTTAACAGTGTTTTATAGTTTTCTTTGTATAGGTCCTTTACCTCTTTTGTTAGATTTATTCCAAATATTTGATTTTTTTTGTTTCGATAATAAAAGGGGTGGTTTTTTTGATTTCTTCTCTTCAGATTTATTGTTTGTGTATAGGAAGGCTACTGACTTTTGCGTGTTGATTTTGTATCCTGCCACTTTACTGAATTGATTGATGAGTTGAATTAGTTTTTCTGTGGAGATTTTGGGGTTCTCTATGTATATTATCATATCATCTGCAAATAGTGATAGTTTGACTTCTTCTTTTCCTATTTGGATTCCTTGGATGTCTTTCTCTTGTCTTATTGCTCTGGCTAGGACTTCCAGTATTTATTGAAAAGCAGTGGTGAGAGTGGACATCCTTGTCTTGTTCAGATCTTAATGGAATTGCTTTCAGCTTTTCACATTGAGAATGATACTGGCTGTTGGCTTGTCATAGATGGCTTTATGATGTTGAGGTATGTTCCTTGTATCCCAAGAATTTCAAGGCTTTTATCATGAATGGGTGTTGCACTTTGTCGAAAGCTTTCTCAGCATCTATTGATATTATCATATGGTTTTTATATTTCTTTTTTGTTGATGTGTTGGATAACGTTGATTGATTTTCGGATGTTAACCATCCTTGTGCCCCTGGAATGAATCCAACTTGGTCGTGGTGATTATCTTATGGATACATTGTTGGATTCTGATAGCTAATTTTATTGAGGATTTTTGCATCAGTGTTCATTAGGGAGATTGGCCTATAGTTTTCCTTTTTTGTGTTGTCCTTATTCGGTTTTGGTATTAGTGTAATATTGGCTTCATAGAACGTGTTTGGTATTGTCCTTCCTTCTCAATTTTTTGGAAGAGTTTGTGAAGGATAGGCACTAATTCGTCTCTGAATGTTTGGTAGAATTCATTTGTAAATCCATCAGGTCCTGGGCTTTTGTTTTTGGGGAGGTTTTTAATTACCATTTCAATTTCGCTGCTTGTAATTGGTCTGTTTAGGTGTTCTATTTCTTCTTTATCTAGCTTTGGGTGATTGTAGAGTTGTAGGAATTTGTCCATCTCCTCTAGATTGTTGAACTTGTTTCCATATAACTGTTCATAGTAGTTACTGATTATTCTTTTGATTTCTGCTGTGTCCGTTGTGATTTCTCCTCTTTCATTTATGATTCTGTGTATTTGTGCTTTCTCCCTTTTTTCCTTTGTGAGCCTGGCTAGGGGTTTGTCTATTTTATTTATTTTTTCAAAGAACCAGCTCTTGGTTTCATTGATCTTTTGGATTGTTTTTTTAGTTTCAATTTCATTTATTTCTGCTTTGGTTTTTATTATTTCTTTTCTTCTACTGGTTTGGGGTTTTTTTGTTGTTCTTTTCTAGATCTTTGAGCTTCGAGATTAGGTTGTTTCTTTGAGTTCTTTCTTGTTTTTTGATGTGAGCTTCTATTGCTATATATTTTCCTCTATTACTGCTTTTGCTGCATCCCATACATTTAGGATATTGGTGTCCTCCTTGTCATTCAATTCAAAGAATTTTTTAATTTCTTCTTTGATCTCCTCGTTAGTCCAGTGGTCTTCCAGTAGTGTGGCTTTTAATTCCATGAGGTAGGATAGTTTCTTGCCTTCTTTTTATGATTTATTTTCTAGTTTGATGCCTTCGTGGTCAGAAAAGATGGTTGGTATGATTTCAATCTTGGTGTATCTGTTGATGTTTGTTTGTGCCCAGTATGTGATCGATCCTGGAGAATGATCCGTGTGCGCTTGAGAAAAATGTGTACTCCGTTTTTTTTGGTTTAGTGTTCTATAGATGTCTGTTAAGCCAAATGCTCTAGGTCCTTATTTAGAGCTTTAGTTTCTTTACTTATTTTTTGTCTTGTTGATCTATCCATTGTTGATAGTGGTGTGTTGAAGTCTCCCTACATATGTGTTTTCTCTGATGTCTGTTTTCAGAGAGGACAACAGTTGTCTGATATTTTGGTGCTCTTCGTTTGGTGAGTATATGTTAATGAGTGTTATTTCTTCTTGAAGTATTGTCCCTTAATCATAATGTAGTGACCATTGGGGTCTCTTTTTATTTTTTTGAGTTTGAAGTCTGTTTTATCTGATATAAGTATAGCTGTTCCTGCTTTCTTTTTTGGCCCATTTGCTTGTAGGATTGTTTCCATCCTTTGACTTTGAGCTATTTTTATCTTTTGTAGCTAAATGTGTTTCCTGGAGACAGCAAAGGTTGGGTTTGTTTCTTAATCCAGGCTGCAACTCTGTGTCTTTTTATTGAAGAGTTTAGTCCATTTACATTTAGAGTTAATATTGATATGTTAGCATCTGTATTTGCCATTATGTTTGTCTTTCCTTTGATTTTATTTATTTATTCTTAATAACTTTTTTTTTTTTTTTTGTCTTCTTTCGTTGTTATTCGTCCCTCTGAGGTTCTGGCTTT